GTATTCCTCAATCTTGATTACTGTCGTTTTCAAGTAAGTTTTGAAATCAGTAAATGTGAGTTCGAAAACACTGTTCTCTTTAAAAAAAAGAAAAATTGAGGGTGCCACTTTAGATCCCTTGTATTTCCATGTGAATTTTAGGATCATCCTGTCAATTTCTGCAAGAAAGCTAGCGGAGATATTATAGGAATTACGTTGAATTTTTACAACAATTTGGTAGTATTTCCATCTTAACATACATCTTTTTATTTTTTTAGATCTTTAATTTACTTTTTGCAATGCTTGATAGTTTACAGTGTGTAAATCTCACACGTCTTTTGTTAAGTTTATTCCTAAATACTTTATTCTTTCTGATGATGTTGGAAGTGGAATTGTTTTCTTAACTTAATTTTAAGTTGCTCTTTGCTTGTATATAGAAGTATAATTAATTTTTACATTGATTTTATATTATGTAACCTTACTAAACTCTGCTATATTGGTCCTAACAGTTTTTTGTGGATTCCTTAGCTTTCATATATATAAGATTATGTCACTGGTGAATAGAGATAATTTTTCTTCTCTTCCACTATTTAAATTTTTTTCTTTCCTAGTTTCTTTGTCCAGGTTTTCAGTACAGTGTAGAACAGAAATGACAAGAATGGAAATACTTGTCTTGTTCCTGATTTTAAGCAGGAAATATTCAGTTTTTTACTGTTAAGTATGATATTAGCTCTTGGTTTTTTGTAGGTGCACTTTATCAGGTTGAGGGTGTTCCCTTATTTTCCCATTTTGTTCAGTGTCTCTATCATGAAAATATGTTGGATATTATCAAATGCTTTTTCTGCCTCTATTGAGGTGATCATATGAGGGTTTTTCTCCCTTTTATTCTGTTTGCATGGTATATTCCATCAATTTTCAGATGTTAAACCAACCTTGTATTTTTGGGATAAATACAACTCTGTCATGGTGTATAGCTGTGATTTTCAACCAGTGTGCCACAAGAATTTTAAAACATGCAATACCTGATAATTTAGTCAGGGTTACTAACCTCTTTTGCCTTAGATCAGCGGTTCTCAACCTGTGGGTTGCAACCCCTTTGGGGGTTGAATGACCCTTTCACAGGGGTCGCCTAAGACCATCAGAAAACACATATATAATTACATATTGTTTTTGTGATTAATCACTATGCTTTAATTATGTTCAATTTGTAACAATGAAAATACATCCTGCATATCAAATATTTACATTATGATTCATAACAGTAGCAAAATTACAGTTACGAAGTAGCAACGAAAATAATTTTATGGTTGGGGGTCACCACAACATGAGGGACTGTATTAAAGGGTCACGGCATTAGGAAGGTTGAGAACCACTGCCTTAGATTGTCAAATTTAAAAATGACAACCAATATAGTAATAGCTGTCCAGTGTGAATGCCCTGTCTTGAACCATAAATGTATAGATCATATAATATAGTTTCATCTTATTGGTCATGTCACATAATAAGACTGTGTCTGATTGGTTAATTCTTGGTACCAGAAATCCTTATATACAAGTATAGGCACCTGGTCTTTTAAAAACTCACTTTGGAGCAGAAAAGGTAGATAATTATTTTTTAATCAATCAAAATTATACCTGTTTTTTTCTCAGATCTACAATAAACATATTTTTGGTGTGCCTCAGAATTTTAGTAATCCTAATATATAAAAAGCCAGGGGGCATCAGGACCAAAACAACCAGACCTATGACCGAACAGCAGGCTGCGTGGGGTGATAAGGTCTGCAGGAGGGTTAGTGAGAGACGACCAAATGACTGAATGACAGGCTGCGTAGGGCGACCAGGCCAGCAGGGGTTTAGTGAGGGACCACCAAATGACTGAGGGGAGGGCAGTTGGGGGCATCCAGGCCGGCAGGGGGCAGCGGTTAGGGGTGATCAGGCTGGCAGCGGGGGCAGTTTGGGGCAATCAGGCAGGCAAGCAGGTGAACAGTTAGGAGCCAGCGGTCCTGGATTGTCCTTTTTATATGTTGCTGGATTCAGCTTGCTAGTATTTCATGAGGATTTTTGGGTCTATATACATAAGGGATATTAGTCTCTAGTTTTCTTGTGATGTCTTTATCTGGTTTTTGGTATGTAGGTGATATTGACCACATAGATTCCAAATTAGGAAGTGTTCCTCCCTCCTATTTTTTGGAAGAGTTTGTGAAGGATTGTTTTTTGTTTGTTTGTTTGTTTTGAAATATATTTTTATTGGTTTCAGAGAGGAAGGGAGAGGGAGAGAGAGAAACATCAATGATGAGAGAGAATCATTGATTGGCTGCCTTCTGCACGCCCTCTACTGGAGATCGAGCCCACAACCCAGGCATGTGCCTTTCACTGGAATCAAACCCGAGACCCTTTAGTCCACAGGCTGACACTCTATCTACTGAGCCAAACTGGTAGGGCAAGGATTGGTTTTAATATTTCTTGGTCGAATTTATCACTGAAGCCCTATGGTCCTGGGCTTTTTTGGGGGGGGATTTTTTAAAATTGATAATTCAGAATCTTTCCTTGTTCTACGTACCTATACAAATTTATCACTTTTTCTCTTGCAACCCTAAATATTTATTCCTTACTCATTCAAAAAATATTTATTGAGCATCTATTATATCCTGGCCCTGTTGCTAACATAAAGATACAAAAATGAATAAAACAGACATCCCAGCCCTCTTAGAGTTTAGCATTGTCATATTCTTCCTCTTATTCTCATGCTGTCTATATATACACTAGAGGCCCGGTGCATGAAATTTGTGCCCGGTGCATGAAATTAGGTCTAAACTGGCAGTCACACATCCCTCTCACAATCCGGGACTGCTGGCTCCTAACTGCTCACCTTCCTGCCTGCCTGATTGCCCCTAACTGCCCCCCCCCTGCCAGCCTGGTCACCCCAACTGTCCCCCTATCAGCCTGGTCACCCCACTCAGCCTGCTGTTCAGTCATTTGGTCATCCCTCACTTACCCACTGCCGGCCTGGTCGCCCCACGCAGCCTGCTGTTTAGTCGTTTGGTCATCCTTCACTAACCCCACTGCCGGCCTTGTCGCCCCAAGCAGCCTGATGTTCGGTCATTACTGTGATGACAATTTGCATATTTCTCTATTATTAGTATAAATATTTTTGTTTATATGTAATGTAATCCTTGTTTAAAAAAATTGCTATATACCATTGGTGGAGAAATGGGGTTTTTAGTGTTGCTATATACAGGGTGGAGCAATGGTAGGTTTACAGTTTTTCTTATGGAAAATAATATAATAATTAATAAATAATAATAAAAGAATAAACTGTTCTGTATACCCATAACTGTAAACCTTTTTTTGACCCAACCCTATATATTGTCATAGTTTGTATAAACTATTAGATGTTCTTGAGCAGAGTGGCATGCATGGGAAGTGAAATATATTGTTATTACAATCACAGTTTATATTGGTGCTTACCCTTGGCATTGCTACAAGGACATATTTTTAATTAAACAAACCACCATTTTAGGTCATTATCATCCTCAGGACCATCAGTGCCTTCTATTCTGTCTGATCATCAGTAAGAACATGTATTAGTTCCCTAGGACTGCTGTAACAAAGTACCACAAACTGGGTCACCTGAAACAAGAGAAATTTATTCTCCCACAGTTCTGGAGCTAGGGGCCTGAAATCAAGGTGCTTTCAAGGCCATGTTCCCGCTAGAACTCTGGGTAGAATACTTCTTTATCTCTTCCTAGTATCTTGTGGTAGCCATCAATCTTTGGAGTTCTTGGCTTGCAAATGCATTACTCCAATTTCTGCTTCTGTCATTACTGGTGTTCTCCCTGTGTATCTCTTTTCATGTATCGTTTTGCCTCTTATAAGGATACCAGTCATATTGGATTGGGGCCCACCCTAATGACTTCATCTTAATTTCATCACCTCTAAAAGTACCCTATTTCCAAATAAGGTTACATTCACAGGTACCAGGGATTGGGATTTCAACATATTTTGGGAGAAGGGACATAATTCAACCTGTAATAGAGCACTATGCTCTGTGAGATATTAAGTTGAGGCATCAGTAACATTACTAATTTTAATAGCTTTGAATAAAAGTTTCATGGTATATTTCTCTGTCTTAAAAAAAAAAAAAAGATAATGCTCCCTATCCCATATACAATAAGCCCCGACGATGTCATTGATCACATACATGTCTGTTTTATCTTCTTCTAAGCATAAATACTGGAAAGGAATCAGAAATGATTGGTTCTGTAACTAGGACTTGTCAGAGATGTTCAGAACTAGCATCTCTCAAATCACAGTTTATGTGCCCCCTCCCCAATAAAACAGAATTACATGAGTGTGTGAATAATATTTGGAACAGCTATTAATTGCTTATATATACCACAATCACTGGATCTTATACATAGACCAGTTTAAGCAGTGCCAGAATCCATCACTGTAGTGAAATAAAAGAACGTAGTTTATGAAATCGTATTCATATGTGTTAGATTGAAAATGGCAAGTGTTGTACAGAATATAAGATAACTTTGGGACAAAGTTAAAAGTATAGAATAGTATCTCCTGAGGACCAGTTTAGTGGTCTCATTGTTTTTAATAATGCTCCCCAGTATTTTTTTTACTCATAAATGCTATTATCTCTATTCTTCCACAACGTAATTATTTCAGTTTCTGTGACTCCTTAGTATCCTAGTGTGGTAAATACAGCACTCTTGGGGTCAAGAGTGGAGAATCTGGATTCCTTTTTTAAAACAAAGCCCATCACCCTGTTCCTCTGGCACAGAAATACTGAGACATTTTCACATTTATTGCTCCCACCAAGTATTAAGCTCTACCTTTAATATTTAACTAGTTGTTCATTTGGTTGTTTTCTTCTATTATTTTGAATTAAGGCATTGACTTCTTACATTCTTATGGCCACCTTACTTCTTTTTGCTTAAGTTTCAATTATGTAACAGTAATGAAAACTTTACTTATTCTTTTTTCTTTGTTTGTTTTAAAACAATGCAGGGCAATCTAGAGCAGCTATGATACCTCCCAAGCATCCACGGCAGCCTAAGGGGGCTTTGGATGATGCCATAACCTTTGGTGAGAAAACAGACCAAGAAGCACCTAATGCCTCCCAAGCTGAACCACCCCCACTACCAAAGAAAATGATCTTAAGAGCCAACACAGAGCCAATCTCCAAAGACCTCCAAAAATCCATGGAAACTAGTCTTTGTGTCATGGCTAATCCCACCTATGATATCGATCCCAACTGGGATGCCAGCAGTGCTGGCTCTTCCATCAGTTATGAACTCAAGGGACTGGACACTGAGTCTTATGACTCCTTAGAGAGACCTTTACACAAGGAGCGACCAGCAAACAGCATCTCCAGTTTAACCACTCTAAATATTAAGGATAGATTTTCCAACAGTATGGAGTCCCTGTCCAGTCAACGTGGTCCCTCTTGGAGACAGGGCCAAGGCATCCAGAAGCCACAGAGACATGCACTTTATCGAGGACTTGAGAATCGGGAAGAAGTGGTGGGAAAAATCCGAAACCTTCATACAGATGCCTTAAAGAAATTGGCTATTAAATGTGAAGACCTCTTTATGGCTGGGCAGAAAGACAAACTCCGTTTTGGGATGGACAGCTGGTCAGACTTCAGGCTAACCAATGACAAGCCATGTTGTGAGGCAGGTGATGCAGTTTACTACACAGCTTCATATGCAAAAGATCCACTTAATAGTTACGCAGTCAAGGTAAGAAAATATTATAAATCTGATTCTAAAATCTTATCCAACACACTGTTATTGGGATGGCTTTGTTCTTCTTTCTTCCATTCTTCCACTCGGCAAAATGTTTTTGAGCATCTACCTCATACCAGATATTATAATAAGCAGGGGCCTTATCTAGAGGAGAAAGCAAAGAGAAGGACTTTACAATACAGGATACTGGGTGATAAGATAAGGGTAAACACCATTCTTAGGAGTTTAGAAGGACCTTAACTCAGACTCTAAAGGTCAAAGAAGTCTAAGGCTGCTATACAAATGAGGTCTGTTATTACGTGCCTTCCACTCCATCTTTCTTTTTTTTCTTTTTCTTTTTTTCTTTTTTTTATTGTTTAAAGTATTACAAAGAGTATTACATATGTCTCCTTTTCCCCCCGCTTGACAATCCCCAGCCTCCATTGGTTATGCTTATATGCATGCATACAAGTCCTTCAGTTGATCTCTTATTCACGATACTAATAACCCCAAATAAAGGTGACCACCAGAGCAAAGAGAATTAGGGGATAAGGAAGAAAGAAGAGAAAAAGAAAAAAGAGAAAAAGAAAAGGAGTGCAAAAATGAAGTTGGGAAAAGGAAAAAAAAGTAAGAGAGAAAAGAAAGAGAATGAAATAGAAGAGGGGAAGAAACTATTTCTATGGGGAGAAAACTCCAATAGAACAGCCACTAATCCCAACAAATTCCAGCAACAGATCCCTAGAGATGATTGCAAACTACAAACAATAACTAATATCAAGCGAAGCGAGGGAACACAGAAGCAAAAAAATAACTGGGGGGAAAAAAACCAACAGAAAAATAAAAAGAAAAAGCAAAACAATCTCACAAACAAGCATAAAAAAACCCAATATACTCAACAATCAAGCAAACAACAACAAAACGACAGAGAAAAAAATTTGGATAGTGAAGAAAGAGAAGAGAGAGGTGTATATGGATTTAGAGCAGGGGATTGGAAATTAGATATATAAGTAGGGTGAAACTTTAATAGGGGGTAAAAAGAAGGAATAGGGAAAATCTAAAGCAGGAATAGGGTAAGAGAAACAGGACAACGAAAGGGGAAAAATGAGGAAGAGTGTTTTGGCGTAAAGGTAAAGTTGAGGTAGAGTAAAATCATGCTAAAGGAAAGATAAAAATAGAATGTAGAACACTAATCCCAAAATAAAATAAAGAGAAAATAAAATGACACTATAAAAAAAGGTAAAATGGTAGTAGTAATAATAGTAATTAGAAAGGTAAAATCAAGTGATGAAAAAGAAAAAAAATTAGTTTCTTGAGTAAAAGGTGAAAAAAAAATGTGCAGTAGTGAAGGTCCTTCAATTCCTCTACCCTTCTGTTTGGCACACCTTAGTCCTGTCAGGTATCCAGGAGAGTGTTGAAGTTCCCTGCAATACACTGTTCCTCCTTGTTGTAAACCACAGTCCTGATTTTAAAGCAGGCAGTATTTGTTTCCCAGACTGCCTTTATTTGTGTTTACAGAAGGGTCAGTTTGTGGTTCAGCCCCTGGGTGGCAGTGTTTCTGGATTGACCTCCAAGGCTATAAGTCCTCTCTAGCCAGTAGTTAGGTTTTGTTTTCCCTATCGCACTTAATACTGGTTTGGGAGGGTCGACTGCCCTGGAACTGGTTCTTTGATCGTTACTCCCCGCTCTGATTCCCAGGTTTCACAATAACAACTTTCCCCTGCAGTCTCTGTGAGTGACCCCAATTGGGCGATCCTATGTATTGGGTTTAATAATCAAACACAAAGATTTAAGGGGGAGAGAGGAAAAAAAAAAAGAGCCTGAGAAGGTGCGCGAACTGGCAACCCTCCACCGTCCAGCTCTGTGTGCAGTCTCTTCCGCATGTCCTCTCTCCCCTGGCACTAAGCAGCCGGCACACTGGCAAAATGCGAGGGTGCCTTTTTGCACCCAGTCCAGCTATGGGCTTATTTTTAGAGTTCCCTTCTGCCAGCAGCCCTGCGGGACCCCTTCCACACTCATGGATCACGCTGGCCCCAACGGCCTCGGACTTTGTGGGGCTCAGAGTTCCCCCGCGCGCGTTCCTCTCTCCAACCTGGATTGCAAACTGCACCTTTAGGTGAAATCTGACCTTTCCATGAGGAGGAGCAGGGCTTGTCTGAGTCCACGTCGTCGCGCTGCTTGAGATGATCCCTGGATGCCATGGTTGCAGGGTCTCTGGATGTATATGCTTCGATATCAGCCACTCAAGATGGCGCGGTCTCTGCGGCTGAGCCGGCCGCTCTGAGAGAGATTTCAGCAGCAGTGGAGGCTGCCCATTTAGGGGAGCCCGATCCAGCAGTCTCCAACAGCCCCCTTTCTCCTGGAGTCCTCTGTCTTTCCCGGCTGCAAACTGTCTCCCAGCTGAATCTCCTCTGCCAATTTGGGCTGGATGGTACTGGTTTCAGCTGCTCACCCTATCTGCTCCAGGACAAGGCACAGGACACGTCCGTCTATACCACCGCCATTTTAGATCTCTCCATTTTTCTTTATTCTCTAGCAAATAAGAGACTGTTGTCTTTCCCTGCTCTGTACCTCCTCTGCTTCCTCCATAAATATTTTTATAAAGGAAGATAATCAATATTTGTTAATGTGCCAGTAACTGTGTTAGTGTTATAATTTAATCTTCACATCAGTTTTATGAGGTTAAGATCTTTTTTATCCATTTGACAGATGAAAATAAAGCTCAGAGTGGTGAGCTAATTTTCTTAAGGTCACACAGCTAGAAATTGGTAGAGCTGTATTTAATTACCAATCTCTCTGACTCCACAGCCTACACTTTGTCCATTATGTCACATATTAATTTCTTAATGTATATTGCTCATTCCAGACAACCCACTTTTTTAAGAGGGCTAAAACTCAACTTCAAGAATTCTTGTCCTGTTACATTCACTGTAACAAATTCACTGTCTAAGACTTCATCATTGTAATAAATACAGCATGGTCTTTGTGGTCCAAAACATCTGGGTTCAGATCCTGGCTCTGCCACTTAGTAGCTTTATCACAAGTTGCCTCTCTAAGTCTTAACTTCCTCAGCTTTAAAAAGGGACAGTAATGGTATTTATAGTATTATTTGGCTAAAAGAGAACAAAATGTTCCTGATGAGTACTCATTTATTTCACTGTCACTTAGTTTCTTCAGATGTTACTTTAAGAGAGTGGCAGTAGATGTATTATCACTGCAAACACCTGAAACCCACAGTTTCCTCATTTTTCAGGTGTTTGCAGAGATAATACATCTACTTTGTGGGACTGAGATTAGTGTCAAGTGAGATAATGCATATGAGAGTTTTTAAAAACACAAGTAAGGTTCTTTATTTCCATAATTCTTTTTTACTGATTCTATACACTGGTTCAAAACCAATTAACATACCTAAATGACTTCTGAGTGATAATTTAGCTTAGAAAGACTAGATGGTGTCTTAGTAAATTAATGGATAAGGTAAGCTACTGGCCTTCTCTGTCTGTCAAGACAGAATGTACACCTAGACTAGACCTTTAGCTAGCTACCGTCTGCAATTGCAGCACCTACACCATGGAACTGTCTAGTGCCAATGACAGAGTGACTCTGTGTCTTAGCCCACACTTTTTAAACTGAGGGGTAAACTACAGAGAGAGAATCTGGATTCAAGTTACTATATTACTATTGAACTGAAAAGGCATTTTGAGATTCTGTGTAACACTCAAGAGCTATTATAGCCTGGCCAGTTTGGCTCAGAGGTTGAACGTCAAGCTCTGAAATAGCTCACTGGTTTGATTCCCAATGGTCAGGGCACACACCCGGGTTTTGGACTAGATCCGCAGTAGGGGGCTTTCAAGAGGCAGCCGATCAATGATTCTCTCTCATCATTGATATTTCTGTCTCTCTTCCTCTCCCTTCCTCTCTGAAATCAATAAAACATATATATATACTAGAGGTCCGGTTAAAGAAATTTGTGCACGTCCCTAGGCCTGGCCAGCGATCAGGGCCAATCGGGACCTTCCTTCCCTTGGCTGCCAGCTTGTGCCTTCCTTTGTTCCATGCCGCCACCTGGTGATCAGCGTATGTCATAGTGGGCGGTTGAACTCCTGGTCAGTCGAACTCCTGAGGGGACAATTTGCATATTAGCCTTTTATTATATAGGATGTGTGTGTGTGTGTGTATTTTTTTTTTTAAGAACTATTATATCAATAGGGTTAAGGGCCTCATCTGTCTTGGGCCTTTGTTGCTAAAAGATAAAGTACCTGTTTCAGAAAGGAGCATGTGTTATTTCAAAACAATTGAGAAGTAGGGCTAGACCAGTGATGGCGAACCTTTTGAGCTCGGCGTGTCAGCATTTTGAAAAACCCTAACTTAACTCTGGTGCTGTGTCACATATAGAAATTTTTTGATATTTGTAACCATAGTAAAACAAAGACTTATATTTTTGATATTTATTTTATATATTTAAATGCCATTTAACAAAGAAAAATCAACCAAAAAAATGAGTTCGTGTGCCACCTCTGACACGCATGTCATAGGTTCGCCATCAATGGGCTAGACTAACTTTATGTATTATTGCCATGCAGTCTTGTCTTTTTCCCAAATGAATGATCTGGTATATTTCTTTGCTTATAATGATGCAAGAGCAATGTCCAAAGAACAGGTGGCAACTGGTGATATGTGGGTATATACTGAGTGGCCAGATTATTATGACCACCTGAACTTTGTAGGCAAATTAGCTATAATTTCACACTGAAATTGCTAGAGGGCCAGACCATTATAAATAGGGAAGCAGGTTGTTTACCACAACAGTAGAAGTGATTTTTTTCTGAAGATATGGGTAAACAACATGATTTAACAGCCTTTGAACGTGGGATATATTTGAACGTGAGTGGCCAGATTATTATGACCACCCCATCATTACTTCGTTGGGCCACCTTTTGCCTTCAATACTGCGGCGATTCTTCTTGGCATTGACTCCACAAGATGTTGAAAGGTGATGTGAGGAATCTGACACCATG